ACAAGAGTATTTTTATTATATTTGTTCAAAAAATTCGTTATAACAAGAGTTCGCTATAACAAGAGTTGACTGTATTTCAAAAATTTAAAAAATTTTTTAATTAAAATTAAAATTATACTTACTAATCATAAATATACAAAAAAAAAAAAAAAACGAATTTTTATAAAAAAAAAATATATATATAATTCTTAATAATACTGTTTTATTTATTATTTTTTTATTTTTTTTTTTTTTTTTTTTTTTTTTTTACAAAATAAGTTTCAAGCATATTTTAAAATTTATGTTTAAATTAAATATTATAAATTTATTTAAAAATATTTTTATGGATTATAAATTAGTTAAAAAATATAATTTTTTATATATTTTCTGTTTTATTGTTTATTTCTTTAATTTGAATCTTAAATTTATTTTTTTTAAAAGAAAGATTTCAAAAAGATTTTTTTTTTTTTAAATTGCCCAACATTGTATCCAGTAGAATTTGTAAGGATGAAATTATTAAATACTATATTAAACTGAAAGATTATTGGCAAAATAAATTTGAACATTAAAAACATTTTTAAAAGCATTTTTTATAAACATACAAGAAATCAAAAAAAAAAAAAAAAGGACGAGGGAATTTTATAAGAATAAAATTTTTTTTATCTCGATTCAATATGTAAAGTGTTTATATGAAAGTATATTTTGCCACAATGGATCTCTCCTTTCTATTAAAGAAAAAGAATCGATTTATTATTAGAATAAAAAGACAAATTTTTTTTTAAAAAAAAAAAAAAAAATTCGAACCCTTACCAATTAAGACGGGCCAAGGATCTTCATAATTTAGGTTGATGGAAGGTATAACATTTAATAATTTCTTACATAAAGTATGATCAAATTCGATCCTAGTATCCTTACAAATTCTTAATTCTTTCAGAACTTTTCCGGTATCCCTTGCATAATCACCGACGACCTCAAGCAAAGTATCATCAAATTTTTCCACATCTAAACTTAGGATTTCTAACCTAGCGACGGATCGTTCTAATAAACCGGTTAAAGATTCGGGAGCGATATTAAACCTACTCTCTAACTGTAGATGTTTAAGGTTTTTAGGTAATAGTCGACCGATTTGTTGACAAATTGTAATTGAAAACAAACAACTGTTAACATCCACATCGCTTAAGGCCAAATGTGAAAGTGAGTTCGAATGAGACATCCATTCAAGTTGATGTAATGGAGGAATCGTTCTGATCGCCAATGATGTTAAATCCGGAAGTTGTGTATGAATGAATTGCAATAATTCCGGAGTGGAAAAATCAATTGCTAATTCTTTTAAATGATTCTTTGACATCATTATAATGGTGGTACAAGTCTTTGGTGTGAGGAAAGTTTCTCGAGATCTTTCACTGTTTAAGGTCAACCTGTTGATCTTAAGATGACTTGATGATTTACATGATGATTCCGATACCATTATGTCTTGTTCTTGATAACAATTAACAAATTTTAAACTTTTTAGGTTCGAACATTTTGTTAAAATTTCAAGAGAATTCCCGTCAATGTAAATCTTTCGAAAGTCCAAAATCGTTAATGAATTCAATTGACTCGTGAGTGAAGAAAAAATTGAAGCGGATCTGGAAGGATCAAATGAACCGATCAAAGTAGAATTCATGGTGAAACTTGTTAAATTGTTTTGAGATTCGATTAACCTTGGAATCTGTTGAGCCAATGGGCCATCATGATGAGGGGTGATAACGATGTGATTGATGTATTGCGAATCGTTGATGATCAAAGTTAACAAGTCAAACAGGTGACCTTGATCCACGCTTGAACAATCGATTCGAAGTTCATTTAAACGCGAGATGGCCTTTTGAGTCCCGGCAAAAGAAATGAAATCGGCGCTACTATAATAAAATTGTTGTAATTCGCAATCCAACTTTTTTAATCCATTACATTTGTTAAATAACATTTCCAAGATCAAGGATACAACGGTTTGAAATTGAGCCTTTTGCTTTAACATGTAATCGGTTGATTTTTCCCACCATTGACCAATTGAGGATTGTACGTGTCCAACATGAAGTTCTTTTAAATAGGAGGGATAATCGAATAACGTCTTGGCCACCTTGATATTATGACCTTCATCGATTAACTTTTGCCTCGCATCATCAGATAGACAAGAAATATACGTTCTGATAAGCAAATGTCCCGTTTCATGATCATCACCAAATTTCATGTCGGTGAACGGGTGACCCCATAATAATGAGACGGCTATTTTACACCAGGATCGATTCACTAATGTCCAAGAATAAAGCGACGTTCGATCGTTTTCTTTATCAAGACTTTTTAAAATTTCCTCAATACAATCCGAAGGGAGCTTTGGTGTATCGATTTTTCCTCGAGTGCTAAAACTGGGACTCATCTGGTGGTGATGAAGTAGTTAAAAAATTCGAATAAATTGATATTTTTAGCGGACTTTGGACCACGTTTTTAATATTTATGATAATGTAAAATTACGTTTAAATGTAAAACAGTAAAAGAAGTTATACTTTTTTTTTATTTTTCTTTTTTTAATCTTTTTAAAGGAAGGAACGAAAAAAAAAAAAATAAAATAAAAAAAAAACTAATTTTTTTTTAGTATCCCAGAAAAAATTCTCAAAGGCTTAAAGACATGTCAAAGAATTTACCAAATACAAACAACAAATTATAAACCAAATGCGATAGCATGTTTGATTGGTTAACCAGGGGTAAATTTCATACATCAATTGGAACTTTTTAGAACCAATGATCTGCTATGTTTACGCCAATTTTGACCTAATACCTCTGATCATATGATTGACATTTTTTGTCATGAATGCGTTACCCTTTGAGCAAGTTTCAATGCCAGGAAACAAGTATGTATGTATAAATGTGAGAAAAAAAATAAAAATAAAAAAAAATATTTTAGAATTAACTGTCATTATTCTATTATGATTGTTTAATGCATATCAAATAAAAGTTTTATAAGTTTATATGAGGGATTCATATAAAGAAGGGTTATTTTTTATACATGAAAACAAAGAAAAACTGCTAAAATTTAAATTTATTTTTTTTCTCTATTCTTCAAAAATCTGAGTGTATGTTAATAAAATCGAAAAGTTTCAAAAAAAATATATATATGTATAAAAAAAATTTTACAAGTAAAAAAGAAAATAAGAAAGGAATGAAAGGGTATATAAATGATAAGAATAGTAAATGTGAAATGAATATGCATTAAAGGATGTTTTCGTATTTATTATCACTCGAACATTGACCAATTAAAAGGATCAGTGAACTGAATCGGCGTAAAAAAAAAAAAAAAGAGTTAGTGATTGATAGATTGATCTGATAGATAATGAAAGTGACGAGCTTACCTCATCATTATGCAGACATTTTGAACCACCACAGCTATCTCAAACTGTATGTCATTGTATCCACGAGACGACTCATGAAGATTCATGTATTTTATCACGAACACCGTCTAAAATACGAAAAATTCATTTACTTACGTAATTGAGTAAATATCAAAGAAAAAAATTAATGAATATTATTTACCACCGAGCCGATTAGACCGCTGGCCACAAGTGTAAACCCTAAAAATAAAAGTAGGCGCGCTTTCCAGAGCGTCCTTTGTGTGTAAATATATAATTCATCGCTAAGGATGGATTTATCTATTAAGGCTACTCTAAAAAAGAGTTTTGTTGAAAAAAAAAAGTTAGCACCCACATTTTGTATTTAAAAAGAACAAATTTCATTCCAAAGCGTAAATAATATTCACAATAACATTCCAACGGTCGTTACAACACCGCTCATGACTTCTTCAACCGAAACTTTAAAGGAAGAACCTTGGTTGTGATTGCTATAAACTAAAGCGTCAATAAAAGCCCACCACCCTATTGCAAACTTGTAAAACGTTTCAAAGGAAAAAATAAAAAGACTTAGCGAGTGGAACATTTTGATTTTTTTTTTTAAAAAAAATTTAACGTCACTTACCAGTCCTCCAGAGAGGTATATTGCAATGTCCCTAGTACGAGGAAAGCGATAACATATTCTCCTATTATCAAAACCGGCATTCCAACGTGAAGAAACTGGGGATAAAGTTGAAGGGGTGGAAGATAAAAGTTGATGAACCATTGGTGGGTTCCTTTTTTTCTTCGTTTTTCGTTAAATATTGTTGTTCTCTTGTGTCTCGTTTCTTATCGAATGAAAGTTTTTTTTTAATGTAAACTAAAATTGTTTGAAACTTTATATCTGGTATTTTTTTCCCAAATGATATACAGCAGGTTATTATTTGATTTTATGGTAATAAAATTTGGTATTTTATAATGAATAAATTAAAAGTTTCACAATTCAACAAGTTTTGAAAGCAATTTTGTCTTATTTTGTCATAAACCATAAAAAACGCCGAACAAAATTGTGTAATTAAAGGAATCCGTGGTGTCTCAAGTGCCACCACGTGAGGAATCTATACATTCGCTCCAACCATTTGTGTTTCTCACGTGTTTTTATTGGTTGTGCGGATCCTTCTGCATCTATTATTAAATTGTCAACCCAAGATTATATATAAAATATAAACCACTGAAACTCTAAGATCTTTTTGAAGATGTTTATATATATTTCATGTGAATATCTTATTAATGTACAAAACAACTTTCATTCTATTTTTTTTTCAAAATTAATTAATTTTTTTTCTTTTTAGTTCGTTATAATGTTGTTACTTGTTCGGACATTTTATTTAAGTATGTTGACAATCTCCCGCTTATGAAATTCTTTTTCTCTTTAGGGATTTACGGATTTTCTAAATTTCATCCTATGTCATAAAGAAAAGGTTTCATCTTTTGTTGGTGAATGATGGTCAAAAAGGATTCCTTAATAGAAAATAGCAAAGAAGATTGATTTTTTTTTTTTTGATCCTTAAAATTATCGTGGGATTTGGCGTAACCAAATCTTTTCATCGTTATCATAAATAGGTATTTACGAATCATTTTTTTAAAAAAACTTTTTCAGATAATTCCGATTCAGGGAAAACGTTAATTATAATATTTATGTAAATAGGACAACAACAACAACAACTAGTATAAGAACTAGGTAACTATTTGGTTTGTACCACTTCGGTTATGGTTAAATAATAAAAAAAATTTTTAATATAATCCCAGGTTCATCATATTTGGTATGTTGGTTCTTTTCACAATGGAACAATATTCACACGCTATCGAAATTCAATAAACTCTAAAACTCAGCCCTACATTTCAACCCCTTAAAAAAATAGTTTGTTACTGCGACGGATCGATTAAGATACTTGGCGTTGAACCTAACTACCGAAAAATATAGTTCTTTTTTAATTTTGGAACCGAATCACTGGTTAAAATATCTATATAAAAAAATTATTTGCATTGTCATAAAACCTGTTGCATAAATGGTTAAATTTGAGAGTGAGGTTGGTTAGAATGATTTTCTTACATTAAAAAATGGATTTCCAAATGAACAAATATGGAAATTTACGGGTATACACTAAATAGGATCGTGTAATATAGTTGTGCACGTATCATCGAATTGTCGCTTTATATGCTTTATATGAATATTTCATCGACCAATCACATACATTCTATTAACTAAAATGATCGATATATATATTAAAAAAATGGTACACGGGTGTATTGTACACGGTCACGGCCGGCATTAACATTACTTTACCAATATGAAGAAATTAAGAAATTACCTGTATGACGCCCATGTGACGGTTAATTAGTGATGAATAAGAATTTTTCTCTGTCCCTAGAATAAATAGTAAAACTAAAGGCGGAGGATGGGCGTGACACCGGTGACAAATATACATGTCACGTGATAAGTGTACATACATCCCCCGTGTAAACTTAGAAATTTTCTAAAAAAATTTACCTGTTGAAATGGCATTGAAGACTTAAGGAATTACAAGTCACAAATGTCTAAAATATGAATACTTAAAACTAATTGTTGATAAAGGCTATAAAAAAGTACCTCAGGTCATAAAGAAAGTTGTTGTTGGTCGACTCATGTAAATGGCTTGCACTTGACACTTGCATTAGTGACGGAATTAGAGTAATATGATTTTTGTATTTAGAATGAAGCAAAAAGTCGTTTTCACTTATTATAATCCAACTATCTCGATTGCATGGAATGTTTCTTTTTTATATTTCTGAGACATTTCCGTTGAAAATTATTCTGCCTTACAGTTACAACATTACAAGTTCATAACAGAAAGCAATTTGTAACTTTCATCATGCAACAACTCGTACATATCGTTTTGAATGTTAGTCATATTAAATCTAATTTTTGTTTTTATTTCAAAAATGCAGGACTCAGCCACATTTTGCTTTTAATCACGTGCATTATACAATCTGGAACTGGTTAAACTAATTTCCGTTTGAACATTTATTAACAAAAAAAAATAAATTTTTTTGATCGAACTAAATCTTTTTCTTATTCTTCTTTCTCTCCCATTTTGTTATCATCAAACAAAATGACTCAACTTACCGTTGATTGCCTTAGCGATATCTTTGAATATTTAGAAAATGACAAAGAAACTTTATACTCATGCTTACTAGCAAACCGTCTTTGGTGTGAAGTTTCCATTAGAATTTTGTGGAGAAATATTTGGGAATTTTAGGATTATGTGTCACTTGCCTCGAATCTGCGATCTCAACAAATTATTAAAACGTTGCTTGTAGTCAAGGGCCCTCTTACATGAGAATGGAATTTCTATCACGACTCCAACATTGAACCCTCCATTATTTAATTACTTATCATTCTGTAAAGTCTTATCTATTTGTACAATTGACCATATAATTCTATTTAGTATTAAACCTCCACAAAGAATTTTAGCCATACAAGAAATATTGAAAATGATTGTGAGAATATCTTCCTTGAAAAAATTGGATTGTATAGTCACCGTCGATATCAGAGTTGATTTATCTCATCTTTCTAGAGTGATCGATTGTTTGAAAGATCTTTCGTTGTTAAAGATTAATTCGAACCTTGATTTTAAACTTTTTTATATTTTGTCTCAAAATTGTCAGAACATAAAATCATTTGCAATACAATTTAAAAGTTGCGTTTTGAGAGGATTGACAGATTTAATCTTTTCACAAAACAACTTGATGCATTTATCTTTAATGAGACTTAATTCTATTAGTAGTTTGTCATCTCTTATAACAAAAACATTCAGACACCTTAATCAGGTTAGAAATCTATGGAAACGTTTTTATGAATATGAAAATTTTACAATTTGTCACCGTTCAACAATTACAAACTTTGAGATTATACCAATGTCCTAAGCACGAATACTTGGACAGATTTCTAGAAATAATGGGAAGAATTTAAGGGAACTTTATACTGACGATGATTCATTAAATTTGGCTAGTGCTAAATTTTGTCTAAACCTTTTCTCATTACTTACTGCAAAGTTTGTGAATACCGAAGAACTAAAACTTATTTTGGATAATTGTAGACAATTAGAAAGTATTCAAGTGTTTTATCATGTTGGAAAAGAAAGTTTGGAGGTTGTGACAAAATATTCACAGAAAAATTTTATGAATTAAGGTTATTGCAAAAAAAATAACTTGTTGACTTTTAAAGATTTAGAGGATTTTTTTTATGAATTGGGAATCTCGTACGCAATGAAAATCCCTCTCTTTAACGATCATGAGACGTCATGCCAATAGCTTAGAAATCATGAATGTAGTTGAAAATATATAAGCTAGAGGTGGTTAGGAAATTCGAAACTTTAGAATTATGATTATTTTTATTAAATCTTTTTTTTTTTTTCTCAAATAATTTAATAACACATCAATAACTTTTTTTTAAAAATTTTGTGACTTCGGTGAATTAACACATTTAATCATGAATATTTGAAAATGCATTTGTAGCATAAACATGTATTGTATATACTGTGCAAAAAAATTGTTTAGTTGTGATACAGCTTGTAAACGAAAAATGCGATTTCTTTCTTTAGTTTAATTAATTTTTGAATTAAAATAAACACACAGTGAATACACTATATCAGCGAAACTTTAAGCATGAATCATTATCATTTAATGGACCTTTCATTCTACTAGAATGTTTCATCTGAAGATTAGAAGAAATTTTATAAAATCACTTAAGGAAGAATATATGTTTTCATAAAAAATTCGAGCAATTATATTAATGTCCGTGTATTAAATTTCAAATTATTGGGGAAAATAATGATACAGATTATTAATCTTTAGTCGTTAAACTAATTAGCTTATCTGACTGAATTTGCTTTATATTTATTACCATCATTTTTAGTTTATTTGTAGAAAAATGTTTTACAACTTACTTTTAAAGTAAAGATCAAGAACCAACATGAGTATAAAAAATTTTAATCAAATTTTTTAGTATTTTTTAACATTTGTAAAGTAATATATATATATCTCTCTCTTTTTTTTTCTCAAAGAAACTGCTAATTGAAAAGTGGTATTAAATTTAAAAAAAATGTATTACTTTCTTATAGATAAAACGTTAAACTATTATTAAAAAAATGCTTAAAAAGTTTTTTATTATAATTAATAAAATAATAATATATCATTATAAAATATTAGTTAATTTCTGATTAGCTTTGATGATGTATAATGAATAATAATATTTATCAAATTTTTTTGATTGTAAAAACAGATTTCTTTAAAAAAAAAATTCATATTAATTTAATAATTAAATTATATAATTAAATGATAAACTAATATATTAATAAATTTTAAATTATAAAAATATAATTATAGATTAATAAATTTTATTATAATTCATAATTAATATAAATTTAAGCTTTAAAATAATTAATTTGATGATATTATTATTGTATTAATTAAAAGCATAAATTTTAAGAATTCTATAAATTAAATAATATAATATTCGTATACATAATGATTTTTTTATTATTATTTAATATATATTAAAAAATCATTTATCAAAAAAGTAATATTTTTTAAATTAGTCTATATATATAAATATATATTATATTTTAATATTTTTATTCTTTTTTATGATATTTTACTTTTTTTCATTTTAACTCAAAATATCTAAATAAAATAATGACAAGAAATAAAGCATTTTTTTAAAAAAAATTAACAAAGGAATTAGATGTGTTCTTTAATAGGAAGGACATTAATGCTCTATCTTTACTACAGAATGTATATAGACACCTTAGCATTCATAGTTAAGATTACATATGATTATTTTTTGTTTCTGTTACTCACAATTGTTTAATTATTTATCCTTTTTTAATAGAGCTAATGATGAAAATACCAAAACATAAGCTAGCTTAAATCCAATGAAGAATCCTTTTTGTTATCGATTTCAGTTATAATGAATTTATAAAGATTGCATCTTGAAGGTCATATATGATATTAAAGTCATAAAAATTATCATCTTTTTTTCAATCGTTAGGACCTAAGATCTTGAACTTAAACCAATCTATCAAGTTCTTAATTCCTTGAAAAAATTTTTTTACATCTCAATAGGTAACATCAACTCAGGTATTGAATACTCTAACTTATCTTTAATCGTACACTTCAAATTAATTTCAAAATTGTTTCAAATTTTATAGATATAATGAATGAAAATCACAAATATTATTTTTATAGAATCTAGTTTTTTTTTTTATTATTTTTTACTAATTGATTTAGATTTTGATTGCACTTCATTTTTTCTCTTAAGAAAGAATTCTTTAAGCATGATACATATAGCACATAAAATAATGTTTTAAAGTTACATAATAACGTTGATGGTTTTTGTTTGTTTATTCTTCAATCCATTTTTTTCAACAATATCTATTAGTTGTAGTTTGAAAATCTAGAAGTTTTAAATGTTATTTGACATCCTTTTTTTTCCTTTAATAAATTTTTATTTACATATATACATGTATAATCAAACTTTCTTTTTAAATTAGTATCTGATATATTTTCAACTGTCTACTGTTAACCCTACGCTCAGCCCATCAAACTTAGGGTAACTATGACTTAATAATAGGGAGTAACGTACTAGAAACTAATAAGTTACTATGAAATAAGTCCTATCATAATCAACCTTAGGTTTATACTTTTAGACGAGTAAATAACTTTAACAATTTGTAAATACGATAAATACAATTGACATGTTAAAGGATTTTTAATATATGTAGTTTAGAAAGAGATTCCTTTATTATAGAGATTTGTATCCTTAGCAATCCTTAACCTTGGATTCTAAGTCTCACTGGTCGAAATCAAAAAAATCGGACATGCGAAAATCGGCCTAAAATCAGCCTAAATCGGCCTAAAATCGGCAAATTATCAAAAATCAGCCTAGCCGATTGGCATACATCAGAAATCGGCCAAGAATCAGCCAAAATT